TATATATATACATACATGTATATACACACACACATACATGTAAATGATAATTCTCTCTAAATATATTGCAACCAGGCCGGTTTTCATTTTTACAGTTCACATACATATATATTCTACTGCATTTGTGCAGTGGTAGGATTATTCATATGGCAAAAGAACAGAGAAAACTACATCAAAATTTGAGTTGCACATTCATTCAATTAACAATATTGCAGCAATCAGTGAAAACTTTATTAGTAACAAATAGTCACCTGATACCTGGTTGCTTTGACCCCATCAGTCAGTAATTTAAAAATTTAACGGGAATGCTAACGAGGGCATTTTTTCAATAACGATAATCCTTTTTGGACAAATCTCACAAGTTCCGATATGCTGCTGTGTAAAGTTAGAGGCTCCGATTGGTCTGCTACTTCTTTAAAAAATTCTAAAAGATAAAAATTACATATACAATTACAAATGTAAAACATATTTGAGAAACATAGAGGGGGGAATGAACTTTATATATACAGAATAAAGGCTGATAACAGCAAAACTGAAAAAGGAACAGTAATGTATACCTTACCTCTCAAATTACTTCTTGTCATGTACATATCTGCTTGCTCCCATAAATCATGTCCAAGATGAAGGTTGATGAGATACGTATGTTGACGACATATCATGTCTAACATTGTTTGAGACACATTAACAGTTGAAGAAAGCAACTGAAGAGAATTTCGCATATGGTTACCACTTACATCACTGCTACTGTAACCACTGGTTTGAGAATTAACACTGCTTGCAGGAGAAGGAGTAGGAGAATGAGGAGAAGGAACGTTTGCAAGACTTGAAATTCTTAGCTGATGAGAGGGATGAGCTGAACTACGAGATGAGTTGTTAAATGCAGTGGGACATTGCTAAAAATGTATAAATGGTATTATTTAGTTCCATAAAATAAACAAATGCATATTTTAATTACCATCAGCATGCACTTATACTTACATTAATTTTTAAAAAAATCTTTTATAGATAAACCATCTAGCCCATCATTTTAAGTTACACTAATTGTAGATCACCTAATCGATCATGTTTACAGTTTGAAATCTGGTCAGTTGCAAAACTTACTTTTTCATATTGACAATAAAGGCTTTGTTGCATCTTATAAGTTAATCATTTGAATATATTTCTGGATCCAATAGACAGTAAGCATATATGTGTGCGTACTGTAAGCGAATTTTCTCACTTATAAGCTGTACATTTTTTTCATAAAAAGCAGGTAATCAGGCATATGGTTTTGTGTCTTTATCAGTTCAATCGTTTTGTACTTAAGTTTTAAACTGTGTAAATATGTGTCATCATTAGTTCAGAAGAAAACTGATCCATTGCCTTCTCTCGATACACCAACTGGGAGATGAAAATTCTTTCATTGCACTTTATTTTTAATTTTTCAAATCGTTCTTGAGTTTCAAAACTGGATTCTTTTTCCAATTTATTCACAGTGGTTTTATTTCTTTTGTCAAGCATTTTATTTAATTATTGCCAACTCTTTATTCCAAGTTTAATATATATTAAATTTTCATTATAATTTATATATGTTGCCACTAGTTATTGCAGCTTAAGTGCAAAACTTGGTTAGTTAGTCGCATGTGTAACACTTACGCACGCGCATAATACGTTTACACATTCGCGTTTAATGTATAATGGATGGTATAATATAAGCTAGGCTAAAATTATCTAATTATCTATTTCAGTTAATGTTGCAGATTGCGTTGTTCCTTAATCTTATAATTGGATCCAGCTTATTATTTTTTGCAGACTGTTAGAGCAATTTTAAAAAAGTAAGCTTGAACTTTCGATTATGTCAAAAAGAGTTTCCGATTCCGGAGCTGCCAAAGGATCTACAAAGCGAAAGCATGTTTTGATGTGCATTTTAAAGGCAATGAAGAAAAATACAGATGCAAACTTCTTTCATCTCTTGTCGTAGCCATGGAGGAAAGGTGTTTATGAACAGAAACTGAAGAAAGTAGATATGTTGGATATATAGTTCATTCTTGGAGTGGTACAATCGTCAAACAACCTTTGTATTTATGGCATTCTTAATCCAATAGTCCATTTTTAAAAGACTGAAGGTCATTAATTAGCTTACCACCAATGGACTATACCAACTAAGCAAAAAAGGAATAATGGAGAATTTATCGAGGTAGAAAAACATACTGCACACAGCTGTGGATGTGTAATTCCAAGAATGTATCTGTAAAATAATTTTTTCCATTTGCCTATAGTCCTGTGGAACAGAACATACACTAAGTCTTAAAGAGGTAAGAAATGCTGGTATGAAATAATTCTTAGAAGTGGCACTCGTACCTTACGAATAAAGCTTGACATAAAAGATGGGACTAACATATTATGTAATCAGTTTTCTGTGGGCAGAACATTGCTTACCTAATTAAAATGAGTTCAGACAGTGTTTGGGCAACTTCATTTTTCAGCTTCATTACTAGAATATGTCTGAAAATGCTCTGAAATGCCCTAAAAACACCAAAAATGCTCTACAAACTTAGAGGAAGAAAATATGAAACACAAATTTTAAAGAGGAAAATACTCTAAAAATGCATATGCTATCAAAATTCAGCCTTGTTCATTACCATCAGTCATCATCTAAGATAACTCTTTCATAGAAAACCAAAGTCATCTTGGAATTATGTAATATTCTTAAAATATGTTCACTGTATCTGATAATCTGCTTCAAGTGAGCATGCAGTTTACTAAAGCACAAAGTGAAAATATTTTCATGTTTCCCATAAAAGTTTTATCAAAGTTCTCATTAAATTAAAACTTTTATAGGTTGTGCTGAAAGCCAAAACATGAAATTCGAATTTAATAACTTTTCCCAACAAGTCAAATTTCAGATTAACTGATCTTCCACTCTCTCCACATCCCTTTAGTTTCACATCCTTATGTCAAAATATCAGCTGCTTATTTTTAGAGATAACAAAAATTACATATTAAAAGATAAAGAAAAAAAAAGAAATTAAAGAAACTTATTTGTCATAGTAGTTTCCTAAGAAAATATTCCCATGTGAAGACAAAACATTCAGGAATAGAATTTTACTCAGTGTTTCAGACTAACCAAAAGGCCAAGTATCACGTAAAAGAATAAGCTCAAAATTTAGTTTTAGATGGGAATTAATAATATTTCCTTATTCATAAGAAGCCTCAAAATAAGAACCACAAAAAATCAGAGAATGACAATGCAAGTTCGAAATGAGAGTCCGTGACTAATGAGAAAATTACATGAAAATACAGGTGTTTATATTTAAAATGGTCAATAAAAACTGCATTGGGGGGAATGAAAAATAACTAACAGAAGTTTAATATTTGAAATTAAAAGCAGAATGAATTGCAAGGAAAAACTCTTTATTTGGATTTTTAGTTCCAGTATTCTCTAAAAATTATTCAAAATTTTCATAGGAAATCTTAAATTTAATTCAACAACTTTAGGCTACCCACAGTATACTAAATTTAATTCACTTATTAATGTTCCACATAAAGTAAGAGATTTCCTTTAAGAATATAAAGGATATTTTTATATTACACAGCTGTAATTTAGAAATGTAATAATATGAGGACAATTCTACCCCGAAATAAATTTAAAATGTAATAATCTAAGGACAACGTAAAAATTGGCATAATTTTAATTATAATTTACAAGTAAAGGAAAAAAATATTTTAAACAAACATTTCAGAATCTGAAAAGTAAATTCAAAATACTTACAATACGAAAAAAGTCCGAGACCCCTTTTTGCTGCTCTTTTATTTCTTTGATTTTCAAATTGTAGAGTTTCACATGCAACAAAGACTGGCATTTTAAACTACAAATGAAATAATAAAACATTTTATAACTTTTTAGCTCTAGTTAAAAGAGCTTAATCATTTAAATTACTTTAAGGTATGTACTTACTAAATACATTGCATTTAAGAAACACAAATTAAAATCACTGTTTTATACTCTGCATAATTAAGTGATGAATGAAGAAAACTGTAGAGATGCCATGGATAACATTCTTAGAATATTTCTCCTTTTTGTATATATTTAATTATGTGCCGAGACACAAATTTTACAGTATTTGCTTTAGAAAAAAAAGACATACACATTTTCAAACTTAAAACTTTTCACTGCTCATTCACATATTTGAAACTGAAAGTGGTAGATGCTTTAAATGATTAACTTATTGAGTGAATAAACAAGTTTTAAAAAAAATTAGAAATTTTAATGGCTTTCTTAAACAATAGAAATTATTAAAAACACTATTAAATAAATATTGCAAATTGAAGACATATTCATCACCAGAACTATTTACAAGAGCTTCTTTGAGGCTCACATGCAAAAACTGCAAACTGCGATTGGTTACTCAAGAAGAGCAAACAAGAAAGAAGCGATTAACATTTCATTATGAATTTAAGACACTTGTTATACAATCATTTCATAATTGTACAAGGTATAAGGAATAATTTGAGCAAAGCACAAGGGTTATTTTCCTAAGCTATATAATAAGCTGGTGGCATCTAAAATGCAACACCATGAAGGAAGCATTCAAAAAGCATGAAACTTATTATATGTACTGGAACACGCAAATGACTACGATTTCAGTGCTTGCAAACATGACAGCAGCACTCCTTGCATTCCATATACAAAGGGAAGAAAGACAGCCATTTTGAACAACTTACATTGTTCTTTCATGAGATTTTTTGTGTGTGCAGCTTCAATATACCTCACGGAAAAACACGAACATCATTCAAGCATATTTCTGAGTTCAACTAAGGCACAATTGTTGCATACAGAGATTGAGGTCTATCCTTCGGGGAAAATCGGTCATCGTGTCAGGCATAGCTAAGAATATGGAACTGGAGGAATGCAGGAGAGAAAGGCTGGTGGACAGGAGCAACTGCAATCACTTTGTCGCACCACTCCACAGAAAGACAGGCATGTTATGCACATGGCACTAATGAAGTGCACTGCCACATTCCCAACTATATCACAACAAATGCCATCCGTAACACAACAGTTGTTGTCTGCACAAACAATTCAACATTCTTTACAGCAAAATGTACTGTCTGTTAAGAGCCCATTCCTTTGCTTACCTTTAACTATAGGCATTTGCATTTGTAATAATTCACTGAATGGCAGAGATGGACAACTAAGTGTCTGTGTTTTCATATGAATCGCACTTCTGCCTGCAGTACCATAGATTAGAGTTTGAAGACAACACACAGACAGATTGCTTGACTTGTGCTATGCATCATCATACTGGTCCTGCATTCTGTGTTATGGTGTAGGGTGGTATTGGATTACACCCCCACTTCCCTGTAGTGTGCATTATTAGTATACTTACCAACTAATACCGTATGTTTGAAGTTTTGAAGCCTGTTCTTCCTCAACTTCAGGGCTTACCTGCAGCAACATTCCAATAAGACAATATGGGACCACATAAAGTACACAATGTTCAAGTATTTTTCCTTAGCCCACCATATTCCATTGTTACCCTGGCCTGCTTGTTCCCCATATTTATTGCCCATCACACATGTCTAGTCAATGACTGGAGAATGCCTAGCTTGGCATGCTACACCTATGACAGATAAACTCTGGCTACGTGTAGAGGCAGCATGGGCTGACGTTACCCAATAAAACATCCAAAGCCTCTTTTATTCAAGGCTACGTGTAGCAGCAGTTATTGACAAACATGAAGGTTTGTGGTGATGAAACAAACGTGACAAATTTTTGGTCAATGCATCCATAGAATCAGGTCTAAAGGAAGGCATATTTTTGCATTACACCATTGCAAGTCAACAAATGCCTTATGACACATCTGTTTACTCCAAAACTGAAAGAGATGTTAGAACATTTTTCATCACATAGTGAAGTTAAATTTGCAGATGAGTCAATAGCAGATCACATTTAGGAAAATTTCACAAAATTTGTAATGTTTAAGAGAGTAATTTCCCTTATTTAGAAACCACTTTTATTATTTTGCTTTATTGTAGGCTTGCTTTATGTGAATGATGTTATCAATCATTACTCACATATTCCTTAACTTAACAGTTCTTTAAAGGCACATCAGTTGTCTTCAATTTTTATTTTGAAATGGTGTTTAGAAAAAAAGAAAATAGGAGTGATGCTCCCACTTTTGAAATCTTAATACATATAATAAAAATAAACTATAAAAATCTAAACTTCTTTAAGATTTAGTTTTGAATTCAAAACAGTTCTCATTGGAACATCTTCCTCCTGATGATACACATATGTTAAATATTCAAATTGATATAAATGTTAATTTCAACTTCCTTAATGCTATAGCATCAAGAAAATTATAAAACAATCAAAATGTCTAACATCTGTCAATACAATTAAAAGTTAAGGCTATTTCATTTGAATGCTTTACTATTTATTGTCTACATTAGTTTCTTTCAAAACACAATGCCATATGTTTCATGCCTCACAAAATACACAGTGAATAAATTTTTTTTCATTGTCTTCATCAACACAGGGTTAACTTTGCCTGCATCTTTATTTACTCATATTAAATATAATTTTAGTAAAAGTTTACAACTGGGTGCCCCTTGTTTATTGGCGATTCTTTTTTGACGCCAAGATCGGCGCCAGGTAGGCACAATTTCAAGATGGCCACTACCACAAAACCAAAATAAGAAGTTAAAGAATTGCACAAGATCTGTGTCCATGTACACATTGATCTGTTTTTACTTAAAAAAACATCCTAGAATTGCACAAACTAGGCATTGCGCACTGCCTTAAATATGTCCATGTACACATCAATCTATTTTTATTTAAATAAAATCGGGAAGCTAAAACAAAGTTAAAACTATCGTGGTAACCAGAAGTGAGGTTTCATCACCAAAATTTTAAAACAAATGTCGCCAATCAAAGGGGCACCCAATTCTACACTAGAGCCTAATTTTATTATATCAGATGACCAAAAATTTAATTTTTGCTTGATAACATGCACAAGAAGAAGTAAAAATTAGATTTATACAAAACATTTCTTCATAATATAGATATATAAGCAATAAAATTAAATGCATATGCGTTTTTTAAAATACTGACAAAAAAAAAATAAATCTTGTTAGTTTAAATTAAATATTGTTTAGTTTAGAATAAAGCATGAAAGTCTTAATCATACATGCACACTTGCATCTCAAAGCTTTTAAACCAGTTTCAAACATTTTACAGATAATTTTAATTTATAGTACAAACTATTTTTAAGTCTTAAATCAGTATTTAAGATTCAGTACCAAGTGAATGAGATACATTTGATGTCTAAAAAAGGGACAATATTGGTAATATATGATAATAATAAAAGTTAAAATTTTTCAATTAATTTCAAGTTAAAAACTAAGGGAAAAAATCTTGCTTAAGTGAAATACAGTACAAAGTCCAAAATCTGGATGTTAGGTTTCTGCAATAATCTAATATCTGAACCTCCAAACCACCAATAAAAAATTGCTTTCCCTTACAAAGTCTAGGAACGCAGAAAATAACACTCAAGAAAAAAAAAAACAAATGTGCTGCAAAAGAGATTTTTATTCTGACCGAGATTTCTGTTTAACCCTTTCAAACACCTGCTAGCTAGGGAATAACACTATGGTAGCTAATAATACAATGATTGATGATGGAGTGACATCAGGCAAGAACACAATTATGGTTGTTGAGTGATTGGGGGTAGCATTTTTTTTTCTGACTTAAAAAATCATGAATGAAGCCTCAAGGTGTATTTATTTGGAATACGGTGTTGCTGATACTGGTTTCTATTTGCTGGTGTTAACAGTGGGGAAGGGAGAAAGAATTAGAATCTGAGGAATCTAAGTTCAATTAACACAGCCAACTCGCTCTTAACTTTCAGATTTGAAGTAACTTATTTTGTTTTGTCTTGTTATTAATCTTATCAAAATTTCAATTTTAGCAAAGAATAAGTTTAGTAAAGGATTTTAGCAAAGCTCTCTGTTTTACTCTTTCTGCAAAATCATACGTTCAATGAATATAGGAAATTTCGCACACGCCGGCACGCAAATATAAATTAGCATTTTACAACTGATGCAGCAGGTAGATTATCCAAGAGTTCTAGAAATATTTTAATATAAAACTTGATGTGCAAGGAATTACAAGATCATGACAGGCAGTGCAGATATTTTTTAAAGTGCTTGGCATAATAAATTGCCAGATATGAAATTTCATGATGGTCATGGAAGCCATGAAACCTGAAGGTTTTTCCTTATCACAAGTAAAAAAGCCTTAGGTTTCAATTGTAATGCCTCATCATTAGTCAATCAACCCCTTGCCTTATGATGTCATGTGAAAATCATGGTAAGTAAATCGAGCCAAAAGTAAACAGAATATGTGAGAGACATACTATGTTGCTTAGACTTATGTGTAAGAAATACTTACCGATTTTCTTGGTTGTATTTAGATATGCAGATAAATTTTCTTGAATAATAGACATCTTCAAAAATGTCTTCAAAAAGACTATTAAGCTTTGATTCAAAGTAGTGAAAGTTATGCTAGCATTATAAACAATAATTTGATACACATTTTAAATAGCAATAGTGACATTAGTGATATTTTACTTCCTGCATAAAAATGTTGCAAGCGACTGGTTAGTGAAGATCATCACAATAATCATAAACAATCAGAACTATGAAATGGGGAAGAGAAAAAAATTAATGAACCCAAAATCTGGACCTACATGAAGATTTCTTAGAATAAAAGTGACAAGTTAAAGACAGGTGAAAACACAAAAGAATTAGACAGTTGGAATTTAATAATTTGATCATACATTTGGGGAAACTATTATCATGGAGAGAATATGCAAATTAAACAGAAACAATTTGCATAGAAGACAAAAAATAGATAAGTCTTGGTTTCCTGTAGACTGTGATGAAATGAAAATATATTTTGCACTATGTATAACAATGGCTGAAGTTTAGAAACCAACAATTCAAATGAAGTGGGCCCTAAGTGGGCAGTTACAGAAACTCAAAAATTCAGAAAAACAATGCCATTCAGCATATTTTTTCAAATAACAGTTCAGCTAATACAAATAAATTATGCAATATAAAACCTATGATAAATTTCAATTCAAGATAATAAATAATTTTTGTTCAGTGATCAATCATCAGTAATTATTTAATCAAACATCTTGCAAAATAATATTAGTTTTACCTTATGTACTCATTTACATATCAAAAGGCAAAAGTGCAATTTGTCTGGCTTTTCACCAGCAGTTTTCAAACAGTCAAAGTACATTTAAAAACTACCAATTGCAATATTCTCTTACTTGATCTAAGAAACTTCCTAACATGTTGCAGCTCAGAACTGAACATAAAAATGAAGCATTAACAATAGAACTGTCTATTTCATTAGAATGAAACAGCAATGAATTCTTTCAGTTTTGCAATGCAGTAATATAGCCAGCAGTTCAGTAATTAAGCTCCATTGTTTGGCAGTTCTGTAATATAGACCATTAGCATAAATCTTTCAGAATGTGTGCAGTAGTTGAACATAACTGATACTGGAGTTGTTTCTACTTTGAATGCTCAGCCAAACCTTGAAATGGCTCGATGTGTGACCTACTGTGTTGATGTTCATGGCACACACACTCTTGAAACAAATCAAAAGGCAAGTGGTTAATATATCTGCAACTATTTAAATCCTAAAAATATCACTATATTGGCTGAGTATGATTTCAATTTCCTATGGCAGTGATTCGGGGGCGGGGGGGACTTTTTGCAAAATATATATATTTTTTAAAATAATAAAGAATATTTTCATTTTATAATTTCTATATCCTATCTTACTAGTTTTAAACTGATGATCAAAAATGCAGAAATTTCTTAAATCCAGAATCTCTGATGACCCGAAGATTCTGGATCTTGGACTTTGTACTGCATATATAAAATTAACATATAAAATTCCTTATATTATTGTATACGGCACAGTTATTAACAATAACTTTGACATGCTATAGAAAAAGAGTCAAACTTACCAAAGGATCAGCAGTTTAAATTCTGTGCTTCCTGAACATGACTGCAGCTTTTGCACACTTGAGCGTATGATACTACAGGAATGCATAAAAAAAATCAGTTATCAGTGAAAACAATTAAGATTTGCAAATGAAATTTTTATAACTATTTATTCTGGCATAATTTCTTTCATTTACAAGCCATATTTCAGTTTCTAGTTAGTCATTTTAAGGCCGAGATATGTAAAGATTTTATGCTGTTCCATTTCTGATTTCCACTCACACTTGTTGCAAGAATTATTACCATTTTACCATTACTATTTACCAAAAGATGCACAAGTGGAAGATTTGCAAACAGTAATATTTATAGTCATAAACTGTTGTGCTTATAATAAAAAATTTACAGAAGATTAACTAAACTTTTTTTATTCCATGCTACTGGCAACTATTTTATACTTAAGTTACATGTTTTATGTTATATGGTAGCCAGAAGTGTCTTAAAGTATTTTTAGTTCTTTTGAGCTATGTAAACCACAACATAATAAACACATTAATTTCAGATATATGTGCCCTTTAATATCACTTCTTATCAGACTATAGTAATTTATGGGGTCCACACCCTGCTTATTACTGGGTATATAATGTTCTAAGGTGACAAAGGTGTGAGGATATTTAACCCATTCAGAACCAACATTGCATAAGTGTGATGCTACAGTTCCACTCTTACAAGCCCAGTGTCACTTATACGTGAAGTGCTCCAATCAGTCTCTTCAGCCCAGCATTGCATATGCACAACTTGAAAATAAAAATATTTTTTTAATTTTTAAATGCCAATAGATGGTGTTAAATGGCAATGGTTTTCACATTGGTTGAGTCATGTGGCTTTTGACTTTCATGTATGAGCATCAGTTTCTGTCTTGTGCTTCTAATTTTCATAGCTTTATTGGTGTAAACTAAGGGCTACCTGTGTGTTTGTTTATTAGACCAAATGGACAATTTGCACAGAAGACCTATTAATTTCATTTTGGCAATTTGCATTGATTCACTACAAGCATTATTTCACTTTTCAAATTGTTGCCACCAAATATTATTTACCCTGTATTATATTTAAAGAAATTAAATAATGAAGAATCTGCATAAATGTATGTATGTTTCTCATACTGTGATAAAACAATGATACCCAGAGCCATCAAATTTTCAATAACGGAATCCTCTTGCGAATATGGGCATCTAGAAGCCCAAATTTGGAATTTGTTTTATTATCAATTTCATATTTTGTAAAACTTCAACGAATTTTTAATTAACAAACTCTAGGATTTCAAAGTGAGCAATGGTAACGCTGTACAGAAAGAAAAATTTTAACTCCAGCGCATGAGACTGCGTACTGGAAATTCTAAAGATATGCTCATTTTAAAATTATTTTGCTATATTGCTCTTGAACTGAATTTTATGATTAAGTGCGAAGAACATGATATTTGATAAATTAAAGTAGCATACAAAATGTTAAAAAAATGCTATTTTGGAAGTAATTTAAAACCTGAAACATTTCAGATATCTAACTGACTACAGTGGTGTAATGTTGCCGAACTTCTGTGATAGAAAAATTCAGACCAATAGTCCTTTTCTATATTTATTTTATTTTTAGAATTTCTTGGTTAATTAAAAAGTAACTTTACAGCATTACAGCATCAGCTTTCTCGATGCATGATACATCCTTACTTGCTCAGCATATGCTTGGTGAAAAAAGCCGTCATTGTCCTGTGCGTTGATCGTGTTTTGAATTATTCCACACACATCAGAATTATTAATTTGGAATTTAATTACATACAGATAATTATTGCTCAATTTTCCTTTATATTTCATATTTGTAATTTTGTTTTCATATGTACAATATTTGTTTTGGTGTGTACAGTATTTGTTTTCATGTGTACAGTATTTATTTTCATGCATATAGTTATAATTTTAGTATTTTGGATGTTTCATCTATTTCTATTAATGTGATATTCTCTTTATTAATACATATTAAGAATTAGTATATTAAGAATGTAACTTTAAAAATTGAGGTCATTATATTAAAATGCTGATTTTATATGAATGTTTTTGTAAAAGCGCGAATAACTACTGAAAATGTGCGGCCCTGTGGCGACATTCCATTTCGGGGTTCGGGGTTCGGTCCCGTCACTGGGACCTCTACCATGAACTATTGATGGTAACAAATACATCCTCATTGTCATTCGTTACTTCACTATGTAACCTGAAGCACATCCTAACTAGTCATTCACTGCAACAGGCTAGCCTCTTACTATGGCCAGAGTGCCGCGTGTATAATATAAATAGTAATTTGTAAATTTATGCATTTATTCATTGGTTTAGCATTTGATCTGTTTTATGTCATTTATTGCAATTATTGTTTAAGTACTGTATTGATTTGCCTTAGTTGTGAGAACAGCTTCTTGTCCAGGGATTGTACTGCCCGAGACATGCAGTCCTTGGAAGGGTTGCAACGTTATGATTTTTGTACACAGCTACATAATTTTAGCGCAATGTGAAATTTTATTTTTCAGTACAATGTAACATGAAAAATTTAGAGAGATAATGCTATGGTGTAAAAGGAAGAATTAAGGGGCAAGTCTATAACACTGAGTAAATGGCTATCTTGGCAAAATATCGCCAAACTGGCAATGTGGTTTTGGCGACCGTCTGGGGACATTTTGCTCAGCTCCTGTATCACTACAATAGATATTGTAACTGTATAACTGTGAATTATCCTCTATGTATCTGTAACCATTATTCTGCCCTTACATAATTTCCACTAATCTGGAGAAGCAGAAAGTACTAGAAATGTCTTGGCAGCCGGTAGTTCAGCTTAAGTTCAGAGCACTGAGCTATCTCTGAGTTAGCTGCGGTCTTATGATGAGCTTTGTATTGCATTATCTTTAATGATTTTAGTAGTTTGAAGCTTAATATTTAATTGATCTCTGTGCTACTGTGATGAGTTTCAAGACTGTTTTTATAGAAAATTCCAGAACTGTGAACTGTCTGTTTTGATAAAATAAATTTTATAAAATAGATAAAATAAATTTTATCAACCTAGCATTGGTTCTGTGTGCATTCAATCTTTATGATTCTGTCTGCATGCAACAATACATATGTACATCCATACATATGGTGAATAACTGATCTCCTTATATATATTTACAGAAAAGGCAATACATGTTTGCAGGAATGTAGCTTATTGTCCTTCAAAATAATCACCTCCATGCTTATGCACTTTTGACAATGTGTATAGAGGTCTCATATATTTTGACAAAGGCAGCCTATACAGTGCAGTTTAGTTTAGTGTTCACATTATGTTGAACATTGGCTATGTCTGAGCACCTGGCACAGTGTGTTGTAACACTTTCTTGGTGTTTTGCCAAGTTTGAAACAATCTGCTGCTCATACAATGCTTCATTTCACCCATTAAAGTGTCACTGCACTACACCTTACTTTCATACTGTGTACACAAACTGCATATCTGGACAGCCACACGATTTTGCAAAGAATGACTGACCTTGGGCCTGACAGACCTGTCTAACAGCACATGGCAATTTTATCCAACTGCGCTGCAAGTCAACAATTATTTCACTACTTCTAATTGATCACAAGTTATATATGAAGTATATGTGTGTGTGTATATATATATAGATGTATATATAAAACTAATTAAAGTAAAAAGAACAAACGACAAAAGACCTATGTGGTAAAAAACTTTGCGCATTGAGCTACAAAATTTAGAAAAAGGTTAAATGAAAATTCCCAGTTTGTACGCTAAAAAGTTGCTTAGATACTGTGGTTCCGTGAAAATATTAACATAAATAAAATAAGGTGCAATGAAATGTGTTATAAAGATAAAATATACAATACAAACACTTGAATATTTAGTCTTGCATGTGTGTGGTTTTAAAATCTTGCAAATTAGTTTTACAGTCTTCCATAAGAAATATAACATACTTCACAACATACCTGGAAGAAATTTATGAATGCCCAAAACTTAATTTAATACAAAATTATGCAATTCAAAAGCGTAAGACATTGGCTTCAAAAGCTAATGTGCTCAAAGGAAATCAGCAAAAAAAAGGGGGGGTAAATTTTCTCTGTAGTTGAAAAATATTCCAAAATATATATAGTTTATAACTTACGCTGAAAATTTTAACGTTTCTTCATAAAACTGGTAGACAGCATCTGGATCTTTTGTGCATTCTTCCTTCTGCTGACTAGTTAGAATGAAAAGAACTGTGGCTTCAAAATATTTCAAAGCTTGAAGTAAAGGATCTTTCTGTAATATTTATTCAAAAAGAAAGTGCTTATATTAGTTTTCAGTAGATAAAGCATGAATGTTCAAATTAATGAATGAATTAATCTTAAATAGAAAAATTCGCTGATGTATTTAATAGTGACATTTATTTATATTTGAAAAATTTTATGATAGCAGTGGTTGAAAATCAGGCATACCTCTTTTTCAGCTAGCTGCTTTTGTTTTCTGCCTTCTGTCCAATAATAGTCCATCGGCATAATTGGAGCTTGGTTGCTATGCCTGAAATTAACCACAGAAAAGTGATTCTAAATGAGATGAAATCAGAATACATCTTACAAGCACAGAATTAGCAACACTATATATATATATATAATATTTTTTTTTTTTTTTTTTTTACCAAAATATAATTTTTGGTTGCAGATTATTAAGCTGTAAATACCTTCTAACTTTACCTTAAGAATAGCCTTATACCTGAAATTAAGATATATTACGATATCATGTAACAACAGTGTTTTCTTTCTGTCATACAGCGCATAATATCATTACTTATGATTCCATTAAAGATATCTGTTGAGGAAATCATCCACCAATTCTGTTCAATCATTAGCACCCTATAGATATTCGGTAGGATCTTGGAGATTATTGCATGGTGTAGAACTCAAAAGAATGTTTGTCAATCTGTGTCTGAGTGGTTCCTTTGTAGAAAAATGTATTTTTTTGCAGAAATAAACCATTATCTTCAGGATTCACAAATGTTTTGAGAAAGTCAAATGTAGTAAAAAGTAAATGTAGCAAGTACGAAAAAAATCAAATGAAAAGTTAAATGTAGCATGTTGCCATAAAATGTGCCATCAAGCACATTATATGGAAACTTGCTACATTTAACACAATTTATATCCATACAAAATTCATTATTGTGTACCATAAAAAGGCTCCACACAGAATCACAGAGCTACAATCACTTCTTACAGAGATATCACAATAGACTGAGCCCACAGCTCACTGCTACAACCATTCTCATACCTTCTCATCAGCTCAGTATGAAAGGAAATAGAATTCATTAAGCATTACAACCGAGTGCCACTTTGCACGAGAGTTGGATGACACCATCTGCAATTTATGGTCTTTGATGTATCTTGTCTTTGTATTATCTGTCTGGAGACGCACTTTGAATCTCTGGTATTGATGTTTGATATAATCTGTCAGCTGATGTCTTTTAGTTATCAGCAAAAAACTACAAGAATCATTAAACAGCACTTAAAACAGACACAATTTTCTTTGGTAGAGCTGGTCACATCAATGGTTTACCCATAAAAAGGCCTTTGATACAGTTGTCCTTTGGAACACATAAGGTGCTACCATTTGGAAGAAATATGGGAGACCTTCCTCCTCCTCTCACATTTCTTCAGCGCACTGAGTTCTCCTTCTCACGCCTGCGCAATAAGAATATCATCTCTGTGCGACTGCAAGAAGAGAATTTTTGCCTTTTTTTTTTACAAGATCATGTACGTGTTTTACTCACCACTCAGATTCCTGTTATTTTATCACTATGTACATATTTTGATTCTTTAAAAGAATTTATTTTTCTAAATAGGTGTCTAGCCATTAATCAGACTCCAAAAAAGAAAGAATGCTTTATATCGTAGATGTATAATACATCTACATAAAAATAAATATCTCCCATTATCATAACCTGTGGTGCATTTTTAGGGGGAAGCCCAGACATTTGCCTTTGCACTTGATGTGGGTAAATTATATTATTTAATGCAGTTGCTAGTATATACTTCCTTTTCTTTAACTGTTTTGATAATTTAATGTTAAAGTTCTTACATTATTCAAATTTTTCACTTGCATGAGGTTTCCTAATACAAATTAAAAACTGAAGCATTTATTGTATGTTCTAATTTTAACTCGGAGCAATAGCAAAACAACTTTATAATTCTGATATTTTATAGCATATTTTCAATAAATTATTTCTCATATAATATCATATAATAAATATAAATGTAAAAATATTATTCTTATATTTCTAAAAACATATGAAAAAATATTAAAGGATAGAGATTGTATAAGATTACCTAAAACACATTAAGGTTATCTGCCCATATCTAAAGATCGAGATTTTAAATCAAGAGTTTAAACTTGGTAAAATGACACATTAAAATACAAAATTAAAATTCTCAGTATTATTTCTGTAAGATAATAAAGATATTTTCTACTCTGTTAATCAATTTATAACTGAGAAGTGTCATAATAATGCAAGATTTAAGTTATATCATCTTGATTTAGCATTTCTTAAATTCCATGACTCGGAACATTTCACTTTTTACGCTTCATCTTCAGATTTGTGATTTTCATCATCAACATCATGAAATTGGTAAGTGGCTATATATTATGCCAAGCATTTTTTTAAAAATATCTGCAGGTATGTCTTCTTATGTAATATCAGGTTTCATAATAAAACATTTCTAAAATTCCTAGATGAACCTACTACCTTATATCTGCATTTTAGCGCATGCTAAATCGAGATACTGACTGGTTGATTGAAAAATGTACAATTTCGAGTAAAAAGCAAAACTGAGACATTATCCTTTACTAAAATTGTAATTTTAATAACATTAATATTAACAGACAAAACAAAATAATAAGTTGCTTTATATCAGAAAGTTAAGGAAGAGCAAAGTTCTTATATTAACTGAACACAGAAAATTTCCTCAGAATCTAATTCTTTCTTTTGTCCCCATGACCTTATGACAATAGCAACAACAAAAGAAAGAAAAGTATGAGCAACACTACACTCCAAATAAATATGTTTTGAGGCTTCACTCAGTGTTTAAGCCACATTAAAAAATTCTACCTTCCAATCACTCAATCGATATATCAATCGATATAATGCTATTGACCATGGTACGATTCCCTAGCCAGCAGAAGTTTGAAAGTGCTATACAGAAATCTCGGTTAGTCATAATAAAAATCACTTTTACAGCACACCCACCTTTTTTCTTAAGTATGTATATTCTCCATTCAAAGACTTTGTAAGGAAAAACTTTTTTTTTTTTTCTCGTGGTAGTATAGAGGTTTAGATCTTAGATCATTATGGATACTTAATGTCTAGATTTTGGACTTTGTATTGTATTAGACAGTTACATGTAAAATTAATAATTACATTAGAATATTACTAACCATGCTTAAATTTTCCTGTAAAAAAAATCATGAATTAATTAATAAAATAGTATGTATATCGATTTTATAAAACATGAGCTTATTGAAAAAGAAATTTTCCTTGGTTTACATAAAAAGTATTGAATCTTAGTCCAAGTCATACTAAAAACCAGAACTCAAATTGAATTTTAAGTAACTAGGTTATAAAAGACACTGAATTGTGATAAGAAAGAAAGTTGCTTCTTTTTTTAAACAATATAAACTGTTGCTCACTAAAATTACAGCACCATGAGAGCAGCACCCAACAGATCTAAATAATGCCACCTAGTAGCAGTTTACAAGAAGAGTATAGAAAAAGAGATTTCATGTGTGAATTACATTTGCTTGGTGTTTATGTAACAGGTCTAGCTCCAGTGAGAAGACAGAAACTAATCCCTTCTTGATCTTAATGAAGTCCAGGGGCTTATTGTGTCTAGTGGTGTGGGTTCAGTGAAGTGCATGACGCAACCAAAACAGACTAGTTCACGGCACAAACATTTATTTCTAACTAACTCATAAGACAGCAGCGATGCGCTATTTACGCAGTTACGTTATATTCTACTTTACTCTCGTTCACAGAGGTTCTTGGGTATAAGAGTAATGATACTCTCGAAATCAGATGCTACATCCCTCCCCGCTTATTTAGAGATTTAATCTCTGAGGAGCTTTGCGGATGCGCGAAGATCGTCCAAGTCCTGGCTGAGGTTGCTGCAACTCTTTATCAGGATCCACTGGAAGGACTGGATCAGTTTTCCTTGGAACTGACGATGTTTCAAGTCCGGCTGAAGTTTGCAAAGCTTCACTTCTTTGTTCAATGTCCTTGTCTGAAGGCTGTGGCTTCACGTTTCCATCTGAAGTAGCAGCCATACGAGGTTCATAGATTATCCGGTGCAGACGGAACCTCGCTCCCTACCGATCTGATCTGATCGACGTGCCGGCGCAGTAAAGTTCCTTGAACGTCAATGGTATAATGCAGCGCTCCATCCTTATTTGTCACTCTGCCAATTTTCCATCGGGAATTTGCCGATCTATAATCCCGAATGGCAACCTTTTCTCCGATCTCAAAATTTCTGTCTTTGAAATCATATGTATTCCTTCGGATGCGTTCTTCCACTCGTTCGTTAAGATTTGGAACAACTAAATCAATTCGAGTTCTAATTTCTCTTTTTAAGAATAACATTGCTGGACTTAAACAAGGTTGTCAATGTTCGGTGCCTTTCTATAATTCATGAGGAATATGGCAAGTTTTTGCTTAATATTTCCTGGATAACCTTGCATTGCACGTAATGCTTGTTTAACGGTGTAAACGTACCGCTCTGCTCTGCTTACCCGTTACTTGCTGGTTTAAATGGAGCACACGTTTTGTGTTTAGTTCCATTATTCCTTATAAAAATTTCAAATTCCCCCGATGTGAACTGAGGACTATTGTCACTCACTACTACTAAAGGCAGTTCGTATCTTGCAAAACAGTCTCTCAAACATTCAGTTGTCTGAAAGGAATTTGTTGACTTTAAGGTATACACTTCTAACCATTTAGAATGTGCGTCAATGACAATCAAGAACATTTGTTCAAAAATAGGGCCTGCAAAATGTACATGAATGCGTTCCTGAGGCGCACTTGGATATTCCCAGTGATGGACCCTTGCCCTTACTGGATCTGATTTGAACTTAATACAATCGACACAGTTTCCTAGAAAACTTCTTCAATATCATGATCAATTCCCTTCCAAAAGACGTAGGATCTGGCGATTGCCTTCATTTTAACGATTCCTAAATGTCCTTGTGTGTAACTCTTCGAGAATTTTAACTCGGAGTTTTTTCGGAACAACTACCCTACCCTCTGACCACTCATTATACAGTCATCTTGTAAGGTGTACTCTGCTTCCCTACCTTCCAAACTTTCTACAGATTTTAATTTCATATAAAGACTATTTAATTCTTCATCAGCTCGCGTTTCCCGAGCTATCTCCCTAGCTGTTACCGGAAGAGTTTCAATTTGGGAGAGTTGGAATATTTCAACATCATCCTTAATGCTTAAATCTTCGGACTTAAGAGGCAGGCGCGACAGGCAGTCAGCA